GATATCCATGATCGTCTCTTTGATGAAGATATGTCGTCTGTCTCCCAAACCGAGATTGATGAGATGCTTCAGGAGCTCAATGAATCTATGGATGATGGGTATTGGGTATCTTGTGAAGTAGATGGAGAATCCTCCATCAAGTTTGTTAGAAAGAGGCCATCAAATGAAATTCCTTTGGATCATCACGTCATGGAAGCCAGCCATCAAGAAAAAGGAGAACCTCTTTCAATCCCTAGTGACGACCTCGTCTCTACCGATTCATTCAAGTGTTTTGGAGACTACAAACAAGATCATAAGTCCCTTTCTCTTGATGAACCAAAGCCTTGTTCTCCTTCAGCTCCTCACCACCTTGAATGTAAGACAGACCACGTGGAAGATAAGACACTAATGGTGACATCAAAACCACCATTGGAGGCGCTTTCTAAGACGAAGGATTCCGAGAAGTTTGATGCCCCATTCTCAATCAAGGAAGTGAAATTTCGTGATTCTCTTTGTGAATCTGGACCTGATGTGAATCTCATACCAAAGACCATTGCAGAGAATACAGGTATTTCGATTTTTCATCCCTTGAAGATTGATATTCACTATGGAGATTTTTCTGGTGCAGCTCTACTTGGTTCCAAACCAGAATTGCCTTTTCAAGGGAAAGGTTGTCTTGTTTCTACTGGTTTCCATGCTATGGAGATGAGAAACAATGCAACAAAACCTTTGATACTTGGTATTTCGTGTCTAGCATATGTTGGAACACTCATCAACTACCTGCATCAACATATGAGTTTCCTGAAGATCAACAAGAAAACCCCATACCCGGTGATTACTACAAGAAACTCTCATTGTCTGACAATAGGAGGCGTAGATGATCCAATATTTGACCCTGGAGGAACTACAAAGGATGTTGGATACGTTCTAGAAAGAAGAGCACCCGAAGAAAATGCTGGATTTACAAGTTTGACAAACAAAGGTATTTTCCTATGCACACCTTTAACCAATGCTCATATAAGAGGTGATGCAGACTTAATCGAAGCAAGAGTGGAGTTTAAATGGCTCTCAAGTCTCTTTTCCGAAGACTCTCCACAAGGAAAAGGAATTGGAGACAAGAAGCAAGAGGATTTGAACATCTTTCCTGGGATATTCGGCACCGCGGTCGAGTGTGCGCTACCAGCGGCCAAACCACCTTTCGCCGCGGTCGCGCGTGCGCTACCAGCGGCCAAACCACCTTTTACCGCGGTTGCGACACTTCCACCAGCGGCCAATGCTCTTTTTACCAATTCTCCAACAGTTCAAGCCATTGCGACACATCTCCAAGCAAACTGTCCTCACCTTGGATGCTTAACCATCTCCACCACTTCAGATCATAAAGAATCATCTGTCCTTGTATCTTGCAACATGGTTCAATGTCATGAAGTGAGAGAGACCTTATTCACCTCATCATACAAGCATCTAAGACGTTCTCCTGTCACAAGTGGTGTTGAAGACTCATACCTCAAAGAAGTTCCAAGACTGATTTTTGATCCTGGAGGAGCTACCATCTCGAACCTGCTAAGCAAAGGAAGGAGATGTCGACAAAAACTTGTCTCAGGACAAGGTCTTCTTCATTGGAATAAGTCACGTCCAACACCAAAAGTCGAGCTAAACGACTTAAAACAAAAGCGCTTAATGGGAGGCAACCCATTTAGGTATTGTTTTCTTTAGAATTTTTCTTTCTTTTTCTTTTGATCTTTTTCTTTTTCTTAGTTTCAGGTGTTTCTTATAAAACAAAAAAGCCAAAAAAATCAAAAAACCAGAAAAAACCAAAAAGAAGGATGGTACCTGACTGCTCGGCCCAGCAGGAACCAAGGAGAAGCAGGAAGAGGCCGCTATTTAAGCCCCCGTGGTCGCAGGCGTTCTGACCGCGGGAAACACATGGTCGACCGCGGTCGTGTAGTTCTGACCGCGGCCAAGCAATGGTTCGCCGCGGTCGTGCAGCCCCTGACCGCGGCACTTGGTCGTTGAGATCCAAACCCGACCCAAACCACCCCTTTCATCCCATTCCACCTCACCAATCACCCTCCACCTCATTCATCACCTTCCACCACCTTCATCACCACCTAATCACCTTCCCAAACCCCTTCGAATGAATCCGGTTCATCTCCACCAGCATCCCGGATCCAGGTAAGTTCTCTTTGTCCTTACCAATTCGATTATCTATGCATCTTTCTCATCCAATCTCGACTTGTTTCACACTGAGGACAGTGTGATTTAAGTCTGGGGGAGGATTTCATCCCTTTCTAACCACTTTTCTTTCATGAGTCTTGCATTATCTACATTTTTTGCATTTTCCTTAAAGTTTTTCAAAATCGGACAAAATACGTTTTAAAGGGAATGGTGAACATGAATCAATGATAGTTGACTGTGTGTTTTAGACTGTTCCTAGTGACATGCTCATTCATGATTTAGGACTAGACTAGGCGGTAGCTAAACACATTTCAAACGAAGTACCCCAGAGGAATTTGAATGATTTCGATTTAGATGAAGGGATACACTAGCTCTGTTTTATTTGGACTTAATTTGGACTGAATTTTCTCATTGAAGCATTAGACCAGGGAAACGAATCATACATTCAGGACTCCTTTATCCTTTTACCACTCTCTGTTGATCCTGAATGGCTAGTTCATCTTTAGCTAGTTCCCCACCTTAACCAATCCTCTTTCAAACCACATGGACTCTTGTTTTCTATTGTCTTATATGCAGATAAGTGCAAAAACGTTGGAGAGAAAGAGGAACGACGCAGTTTTCAGTCACCAAAGACAGAGACCTGCGATTTGCCGGAAAAAGTTCACAGAAGGATTCAACACAAGAGGAATCTCAGTTTGCCTTAGGAAAATCTCGAATTTTGGTACAATCTCGTCCTCTAGTCTCTCTCCCTAAAAGGCATTTCCTTTCCAAAAAAAAAAAGAAAAAAAATCCGAAAACAAGAAAAGAAAGGAAATAAAAGCCTTAGAGAGTCTAGAGAGGTCGAATTTTAAGTCCCAAGGCAACTGGAGTTCGATTTTATGGAGTTTTGGAGATTGTTTTCTGATTTCCGAAAAAAATCTAAGTCTGGGGGAACAGCTGTTTACAACAAAGGAGGAAGGATTATGCAACAACATTTGGCAAGAAGAAGTGACTGAAAACTGTGGTCATCAACAGCTCCTTATCTCTCTTGCGGTTTTGCATATTATCTTGCATCCTCCAGATCTTCAGGTAACCCGAAACACTTTAACTCCACCACTTAAATAGCCCTTTAATGCCAAACGCCGTCTACCCTGGATGATGTCTTTAATGAGAACTCACTATTGAACTTAATGAATGTAGAGAGCTAGTTGACTGAAATCAAGATTTAAATTGTTTAAGTTTTGCATGACGGAAAAAGTGGACTAGTATCTCTTGTGCATTAGTGAGAATTTTCTAGACTAAATTGTGGATTGATGCACTATCTTTGGTCCTAGTTTAGGAGTTCATGTCTATGAGATTTGTGCATTCCCTATTTTTGTTTTCACTTAACCAGTTTAGGCTTTTGCTTTGTTTGAAGACAAACAAAGGTTTAAGTCTGGGGGAGTTGATAACACCGTATTTTGACCACTTTTATGGATTGTTTTGAAATACTTTTTCTATGTTTTTAATTGCTTTTAAGTACTTTTATTATGTTTTTCTAGTATTTGTAGTTTCAAGACTCTTTTCAGGTAACTTAGGGAAAAGCTTAACAAAATGGACAGAAAACCAGATTTCAGCTCAGAGTCAAACCGTCAGAAGTTCACCCCTGATTGAAGGCCTTCTCACCGTCTGATCCAGCTCAACTTTGGAGACCTTAAAGATGGAAGTATCAGCTTTCCAGTGCACTTTACAGCTTGGCAATCCAACGGTTCAATCAAAAGATACGCTAAGAGCAAGATGTCCCGTAAACCAGCTGGCCAGCACTTCCACCCGCGGCCAACAAGCATTTTCCCGCGGTCAGGAGTATCCCGACCGCAGCAAATCACTCATCCACCGCGGTCACACTTGTCCCGACCGCGGCCTTCAACCTCCAAGCCCAAAAAGCCCATTTCTGAAGCCCACATTTGGAGAAACCCTAAGTGACGTCCAGAGAGGTCTTGAGCACTATAAATACATGTCTTAGGAGCCCTAGAAATCGTGTAACCTATCACCACCGAAATATCTACTTCATATTCTTATTGTTTTTGCTTTAGCTTTTAGGGAGAGAGAGATTTGTTCTCTTGAACCCTTGTTCTTTCTTTTTCAATTTCGGTTTCTATTCTACTTCTTAGTATTATGTCTTTGATTTCGTTCATTATGTCTGAGTAGTTTTATTGTTGGGATTAAGGGATTTTCGATGGGGATTTATATGTTCGATGAGGATTTTATTGGCTATTGAGCTGAATCTTAGAACTTTTTCTTCTGAATTCGTTTTTACTGCATGAGAGTAGTGTCATGAACTACAATCTGATCCAGATGCTTGGTGACACGAAAGTGTTCATCAGGTATCAGATCTAGTTTAGGAGAGCAAAACAAACATAGGAGTGGAAACCTACCTATGGGCGATTTGTGAATTAGGACGAGTCTTAAACATAATGCATCTCTTCTCTTCCAGGGCCATAGTGGAAACCTACTGGTCAGGATTGAGAGAGATAGTTGTCTATGATCACGACAGTGGCGTATTCATACGTCCGTGACTCCAGCTCGAAAAGTTTAAGCTAAGATCTTATCAATTTACTCTCTAGCAATGTTTTGAATCGTTCGTACCCCTGAGAAAACTTCCCTGAACCCCAACGCTTTCTTCTCCATTGATTTACACCGATTTTCTTTCAAGCTTTAGTTCAATATTGTCTTTCCTTTTTAGTTCATTTTCATTTAAGCATTAGAATATCCGTTTTTATCATTTTTAGTTATTTTCGTTAAGTTTAGTTATTACGCCATTTAATTTCCGTATTCTCTTTTAAGATTTCGTTTTTAGATTTTAAACACACTACCAAACCCCCACTAAACCGTTTTTGTTCTAGACTTCCTTACTTTAACTTATTTCAAAGGCTTTTTGCAGCAAAAGATCCTCCTTCCCTGTGGATTCGATCCCTAAGTACTACAATCGATCAGCTGTGCACTTGCGGCTATTGATTTCAATTAGGATAAAACTTGACAACCCTCGACACCACACATCAAGACCACCTCCATTTTTGTGAGATTCCCAGAACACCTCATCCAAGCTTCCATCCAGAATATCACATATCATGTTATGCACCTTTATATCCACGTCTACAAGTCGGGGTTCACCTTTCCAAACAGGATATATTTTCTCCAAAGGCTTCACCACCAACAGATGTCTAACCCAAACCTGCCATGCTATACAAAATGATATTAATAACTCTACGAAATGTAAGAACTCTACCAAATTTAATAACTCTACCAAACATTGTTGTATAATGAATAACTCTACCTAACTCTCAATATTAAATCTACCTTATTGTCAAAGAACTCTACCAACTAAATAACTGATTAAGCTACAAGAAAAGTACCTTGTTGTCCTCGGTTTCACTCTTATACATCTCCAAAAGAGTCTCAAAAAATATCAGCATCGTGATGAAGTCCACTTAAGAAGAGGAACAACTGAGTCATCTGCATCGGGGCGTATTTTTCCTGCTCTTTCTGCCAATATTGGGATGCACTCATAACTCCAAACAAGCATGGCCTGTACACATCCGTGGAGAGTGTATCGTGGTCCCCCCAAATTAGCAATCTTGATGGAATAAATTAGTTAATGGAATCCATAACGACCCCACGGCTGTCTCTCAAAAGCTGCTTCATCCATAACTGTTTTCGCTAAAGCCAACGGGATTCGACTGTTGCGGTGAAGTCCCAATACGCCAACATGCAAAGTGAAAAGCAACGCCACCATCTTCTTTTTCTCATAGGTCCATGCTTGGCAAGTTTTCATTAACGCTTCTAACTCATGCCAATTAGGGCCTTCCTCACCTTTCACTGTGGTCTATTTCCAACTTGTCATTGGGATCAAATGGATCACAGTTCAGCCCCGTGATTTCACCATACTCGAAGAGTGAAAATCTAACCGGACGACCTCCAATAAGAGTCCAGAACTCATGATTCTTATCCACCGTCTTAGCACTCCATACGAACGAATTCAACGCAAGCTTTAGGAACACATTAACTTGAGAATTATTCTTAATGTCGTCGAAAATTCCATCCCCAAGCTGATCCCTAATCAAGAAGATGAACTCATGAACCTTGCAGTTATGATGAAAACTCTTGTTCATCAAAGGAGATCTGCCTTCCGGGTATAATCTTTGGGGATAATCCTTTGAGCCACTAGCTGAAGCCATATCTGCAAACAAAAAAAACATTAAAATCTTAAAAATCTACCACATATCAAAACAAATCTACCATGAACAAACACATGTCTATCAAACTCGAAAGCAACTATAGAATACCTACCACAAAACGAAATACAAATCTACCAAAACGAACACAAATCTACCACACATGGAAGTAAATATAGAATACAAATCTACCAAATAAATACATAAATCTACCAAACACAAATCTACCATATCAACAACAACTCTACCAAAAATAGTACGATTATTCAAACCACATCATGAGACGAAAACAAATCTATCTAACATAAAAAAATAACTCCGTTAAACACGAACAAATCTACCATTTAACATATACAAATCTACCATTTTCAACAACTACTTAAAGTCTACCAAACGCAATTTTGAACCCAACCATTACGAACAGATATTACTCACCGGAAATCATGTACTCTCTCCAGAAATCGTTCTCGAAAGACGGAAACAACGATAGTAATACTTCCCTGCAAAAAATAAGAAAAGGGTTGCGATTTCAGAGTAAAATAAAAGAAAAGATAGATTTCTCTTCTGGCGTTACCGCGACACCATCGTTGAAACCGGAACATGCGGTAATAAACCCTAACACCACCACTGCAACAGAAACGTGAAAACCGTTTTCAACCTAACCCCAAAATCCCTTGAAATAAACTTGTTGGAGACGAGGAAATGGATAAGCCAGATTTGAAACACTTACCAGAGGAGTCGCCGGAAAACCTTTCGTTGCCGTCGAAATCGTGTAACCTAAACGGCCGTCGCTGAATCGCCTCCTTCGTCGCCGAATCACCTGTTTTTATATTAGGGTTTGCTTTTTTTTTAAAACCGTAATTTGTGTATTTTTGGGAGAAAAATAATATGTATAATTCTTAATTTGTAATTTTCATTTTAATTTCCTAAATATCTGTATATACGTATGTATATGACTTAATATGAAAATGTTATAGTGTATTTATAGATATGTTTATTCTGATATTTTTTTAAAATTAGAATGGCATTCTCGTAATAATATTCACTATTTGGACAAAATGGTATAAGACCAACTTTATAAGGTTAGTCTAGGAAGGCGATCAATATGTTAAGCTAGGTTTGTCATTTTGTCAACCTTAAAGGCTAGTCTGAGGAGTTTTCACTAAAACATATATTAGCTTTTTAGGTTCTCTTGATAGGGTCAAAGTTGGAGACACCAACGACGACACTAAACGGCACCAATGATGACAGTGAGAACGACGCCACCCGAAGCAAAACTGAGCAAGAAATTCTTGAGAGAAGGAGATATTCCAGGACTGGCGGCTTCAGCAACCTCCGGGATCACCATCGAGGCGGTGAGAGCAGCCGCTGAGAGTCCAGTTACAGCTTTGTCGAACTTGAGCTTAGAAGCTCTAACTTGGAGCCTCTGTGTTCTGCCTCTAGGTGCAGCCATCGCTTTGGATGGTTTCAGAGGTAATGGGTTGAAGAAAGTCGATGAGTGGGTCTGGTTAAGCGGTGTGACCAATGACATTGTGGAGGTAGAAGCCATATTTCCAAGTATTTGGTCTCTCTCTCTTCGTTGGTCTCTCTCTCTCTCTGGAAATGTGTGAAGTTGCTTGGGAGGATGGAATTTGAGAAGGGAAATGAGAGAAAGCTGAGGACGGAGATAGGAGGATATGAGTCTTACATGGCAGATTCTGAGCTTTCCAATGGCTGATTGGATACATAAGGTTATCTCAATTGGAGATATTGTGGTTAATTTTAGGGGTGATCCATTAAATGAAACAAATTTATACTAATATTTAGAAACTACTAGAACTGCATTTGTCATGATTTGTGGATTTCTTATTTTCTGAATTCGAACATCAGAAAATATTTGGTCGTTTTATTTAAGATGTTAGTTTAATCTAAATAATATTGGTTTTATTTTGTAAAATCTAGTTATTATTATTGATCAACAAACTAAAAAAAAAATATTTTACTTGAGAAAATCTTAAAAAAAATAGAGTATTTTTGAATCAAAATAAACTATGTGAAATTTATGTGTGGATGACATTTGCGAATAAGATATCCGTTAGGCATTAATGTAGGAAAATTGGTTTTTTTAGACCCCAACTATTCGATTATGTTAATCTCAAACCTGACTTTATATATCCGACTAAAACATACTTACACTTCTATTTAATTTGAGTATCATACTTGAACAATGTTTCTTGTGCATAAACATACTTAACACCAAACGTCGTTAAAAAACCGTCAACCCTTGTCGATGTGGAGTCCATGTCAAAGACCTCATTCAAAAACATAACGTCATCAGGTTTAGGTGTAAACGACGCCGGGTTAGTTATTTTTTTTTTCTTGTATTCTTCGTCTTCAACATTTCTACATTCGACTCTTTCTCTGGTGTCTTTCGCTTCCTTCCCAGCCAACATCTTCTCTCTAATTGTCCATCATGCCACTAAATCCCTTCCTAATTCCAAAAAGCTCCTCATTATCGCAATCTCTGCCGTGATGTCCACCGTTTTAGTCGCCACGCTTATCAAATTGCTCTATTGGCGTAGAAGAAGAAGAAAAAGATGACAGGATAGTAACTTACCTGATGATAGCAAGACGTGGACAACCGACAGTAGCCACCGAGTTTATCTGCCTCCTCTGTTGGTGGCAACGCTAAGAGGGTAGGAATAGTAAGCAGAGGACGACGGCGAACACTAGCTTAGAGTTTCTTTACTTAGGAATGATGGTGAATCCAAGAGGAATTAAGAATCCATCGGCTAGTAATAATGGTTTGAGTTTCTTTACCAGTCTAAATCGGGAGGTTGGTTCAATAAGAGAGGAGGAAGAAGAAGAGTTATACTTCTCCTGGTCGTCGTTAAGCTCGATCAGGCTCACCAGGAAGATCGACCTTCATAAGCATTTTTCCGTCAATGAGTTCGAAGAGATCCGCCGGTGGTAATCTACGCGAAAGAGCCGCCCCTGAAGACTTCTCCGGGAAGCTCTTAATCATCACCAGCGAAAGTATCAGAAAAACCAGATTATTGATTCCTGAGGTTTCTATCATTGTCGGGATTTTGTCTGGCAAAAAAACGCCGATGAGGGATTATGGCTAAATCTCAAGATTTCTGACGGTTAAATGATGTCATTTGTTATTTTCTTTTTCAGTTTTTGAAAATCTGATGTGGCTGCTTATGTGGATGCCACATATACTAGATTTAACAGAGTTTAAATAGCGTTTAATCGAATGATGTTTTACGCACAAAAAGAAAAGTTTAGGTATAAAATTCAAATTATTTAAAACTTGAAAACGTTTTGGCACAAGATACAAGATTGGGTATAGATTTAACATTTTTGTATAGTTTAGGGAGGAAAAAGCCAATTTTCCCATTAATGTACCATCTTTCATTTTGTTATTCTTACACAATCATCTTTTTAAGAGTATATAACTTAGATTTTTTTATAAAAAAAAAGAGAGTATATTATAGCTAAAAATGGATGCATTGACTTCATCATAAAAATGGATACATTGACTTCATCATAAAAACATTATATAAAACAGAACACCTAAAAGAGAAATTTCTAGGAAAGAGGGGAGGTACCATTTCTTATCTAAAAACTTGTATTTCAACTTTGATTCAAAAACTGTTCAAAATAATCTTTTTACTACAAAAAATGGAGGTATTCATATGAATCTTTTTATGAATCTGTTATACGATTAATCTAGATGCTTTAACAGATCGCAAGATTCATGTGAATTATGCTTACAAGTTGAAAGCACAAAATTCTACCTATAACCTTCTTTTTCAGAGGTTGGCAGCTCAATCATAATTATGGTGCTCGCCGTGCGGAGATAAAGAAGAAATTACCAAAGTTTGAAGGCTTGTCATAGTTGTTAAGAGAAATCATGCTAACCAATCTTTTGTCAGTGTGTTTTTCAGTTTAAAGCAATCTCTTGATAATCTCTAGTTAGTTAATCAAAAATGTTTGATGAATCCTTCTCCTTAACTTTTTCCATTGTCGCTCTATTTAACTCTAAGAACTCTCCCCAAGAAATAGATGCTTTTCAGTTTATCTCATTCCAAAAATTCTCCTTTAGTTTTCCTTAAGATATGTTTGTTTGAGTGTTTATCTGTGTGGGTCTTGATATGTCTCGTGATATTTAATAAACCATTGATATAATATAACCAATGGCAAATATTAGTGATCCATATGGTGACAGTGTTTTAGCCGCTAAAATCATTTTATATAATGAGATAATGTAGTCTTTTATTGAGGTAACTACATAATTGTTTTATTTGTAATAGTAAGAAACAAAGAATTATTACAGTGGAAAAGTACCAAGAAGATTATTCTCTCTCGACTAAAGTTGGAATGTAGACGTCTCTGGTACCATTCTTCCGAGTTTAGATACATCTGAGTACTTAATATGCACACCAATCATATCAAACCCAAAATAGCAAATCGGTGTTCTCGAATTAGGAACCGTGAGAAGACTAAAAAAAAGTTTTTAAGTTCAGGATTAGATACAATAAACTGTAATCAAGTCATACACTGGTTTAGAAGACAAAAGAGTCGAACAAGACAGTAACTTTGAGTATCGGGAATCTCTATGAATATCTATCAACACGGCCTCTTGGGGAGACCATTGACCAATGATAAGCTTCCCACAAATCAGGTCCTTGCCGCGTGGATTTGAAAATAGAATTAGAAATTTTTTGAGAGTATGCATAGTTGTTCTGGAAAATCGTAACCATATAATTTGATGAGACTTTGCATAGTCTGACAACAGATCTGAGGGTCGCCCTCTTGACATTTCCCCAAGTCAGTTCTTCAGAAATGTCTGCTGGATCCTCCTGATTCTTAGTTTTTTTTTTTTTTTTTTTTTAATTTGCCACTCCATTGTCCTAACTCAAGAGCTCTTCCCAAGCGCTGAATGCTTCTCTATTAAGCGATTGATGCTTTTTTCATATTTTTCCCTGAAGAATTCTCCTTTCATTCTTCTCTTTTTATTCAGACTATAGTTTTTTTTTGGTGGGTCAAACACGTCTCTTTATATTTTATAAATCGTCCATATCATCTTTCTTTTTTTTTGTTCAACAGTCTGTATCATATATTCAACATTAAATATTAATGATTTGAGTGGTGATAGTGTGTTAGCCAATAAATAATTTTTATAAACAAAAAATATAATTTTGTTTGTTTAGTATGGTAATTATATAATTGTTTCAATTGCAATGCATTGCACATTAGATTACCGATAGAAAAGATGGTTGAGGGTCTCCAAGAAGGTTCTTTTTGCTCACTAATATGGACGTCTGCTCTCTTGCAAGGCCAGATACGACTAAGGCCTGAAATTCACATCAATCATATCAAATCCAAAATTGTAGAATGTTTTTCCTGAATTAGAATTGTGGGAAGATTGAAAAACTTTTGGAGAGCAAGTGATATGATATTGAGGACGCCCAAGAAGACGTATCTGCATTGTTCAACACAAATGGGGTCCGATCTCAACTGGAACAGTCAAAAGGCCACTTGTACTATGTTTTCACCTCATCTAGAGCACTCCTCGAAGTGGAATCGGTTCAATCCGGGTTTTGATGAAAGAGTTATTCAGTTTTCACACCAGACAAAAGTCAAGCTTACTCGATTTGGACCTGCGCGTGCTCAATGGAGGATTACGACCAAGCCAGAAGGAATCAAATTATGAACGTACCTTTCCTGGAATCTTTGTTCATCACAGAAGCATAGAGAATTGGAATCACTTTAAAAGGAGTTCAGACTTGGAAGATATGAATTTTACAATTCAGCAGATCTGCTTCAGGCCCGGTTACGCGTCTGAGCCAAAGATCGAGCTCCCGAGCCTACCTCAGAAACAATTTCTACATGAAACCACTTGGAGAATCTTAATGGATCTCTTCTGGTTCCAACAAGCCCAAGATCAGGAAAAATGGACATCGGATCACAAAGATACTCTTTATTTCCCAAAATGGGTTGTTCTGGTTCTATACCTGAAGTGTTTTAGGCCTGATTGGTTTGGAAGTTTGCAAACTTATGTTTGGCATCCAGGAGGACTTTCTACAAAGCCCAAAGAGCATAATTGTATTAACCCATCAAGGAATTCGTCCAAAGATATCAAGAGACAAATCAAGTGAAGAAGAAGTTCAAGAGTTAGTCAAGATTCAAAGTAGATCAAGAGTTATTCAACTCTGAAGTTAATGTTTTGACTAGTCTTTTGCCTAGTTACGAAATTGCTTTGTTTTCTACATCTTATTTCCTATATAAACTCATGTAAGATCTCAGGATTATTCATCCTGGATTGGATCACCAAAAATTAATCAAACTCTTTTTATCAAAAACTCTTTCTCTTATCAAAACTGTGAGAAACTTCTCTTTGTCTTTTGAGAGTGATTCGTTGTCTTGTGCAACATCTTTATCATTTCTCATCTATCTCAGAGAGTGACTCGTTGCTTTGTGCAACATCTTTATCCTCTCTTATCTCTCTTTTGTGATCGATTCGTAACATCTTTATCGATTTATATCTCAGAACGGAAGTCTATTCCGCACCTTCTGTT